TTTTGTACGGATGACTCTTAGGACCAATCCCATATAAATGAAGATGAAGCTAGACCCAGGGTGGAGTAAGAGCCCCAGCTGATAGCATCCAAAGTTGCAGTAGGGAGCCATAGAAGGTCAAGGGTTGACCCATTACCGCCATGGGAGCTGATGCAGGTGATGGTGCTTTGGGGGCAGCTCCTGAACCACGGTGCTCAGGGGACAAAAGCACACCCTACAGTCCGTTTCTCATCTCTCGCCCACCGTCCTTTCTCCTGTGAGTTGTGACTGACGGTTAAGTAAAGAACTAAGAATTTGGGTCCTGACTTAAAAGCAAGTGCAGAGCGTGCGAGAGCTCCCCAGGTGATGTCTAAGTCTGACAGTGGATGGCAGTTACACAGCTGTGTCCGTTTGTGGTCATTCATCAGTGATGGATGGCTTCATCATTAATGAAGCTGTGCACTGATGGCTGGACATCCCTAGATGTACAATATAGTTCAATTAAAATGTTAAAAAATAAGGGTTTGGAGAATTGGTTCAGTGGCTAAGAGTATTTATTACTTTTGCAGGGGACCTGGTTTTAGTGCCTAGCTCCCATGAAGCTGCTAACAACCATTTGCAGCACAGTTCCAGAAACTCCATCGCCCTCTTCTGGGCTCTGCAGGTACTACACACACTTGTACACAGACACACATGTAGGAAAAACACCCATACAACATAAAATAAAAATATTTTTTAAAATAAACCTTTTTTTTAGTTACAAAAGAAGCACAATGGTTGATACCAATTAGACATTTCTTTTTCCTGACCTTCTTTGGATCTAATAATTACTTTCTTATAGGAAAATGAATGAGTATACCATAAGAGTTACTGACTATACCTCACTTTTGATTTGCATCTTTCTGATGGCTAGGGATGTCAAGCATTTCCTTAACTGTCTTTCAGCCATTTTAGATTCCTCTGTTGAGAGTTCTCTGTTTGGGTCTGTACTCCATTTTTTAATTGGATTATTTGATTTTTTTTTTGATGACCAATTTCTTGAGTTCTTTGTATGTTTTGGAGATCAGCCCTCTGTCCAGTGTGGGGTTGGTGAAGATATTTTCCCATTCTGTAGTCTGCCATTTTGTCTTGTTGACTGTGTCCTTTGATTTTCAGAAGCTTTTCAGTTTCAGGAGAAATTAATAGTTTCTCTCAGTGTCTGTGCTACTGGGGTTCTATTTAGGAAGTGGTTCCCTGTGCCAATGTGTTCAAGTGTACTTCCCACTTTCTCTTTATGAAGTTTGGTGTGGTTGGTTTTATGTTGAGGTCTTTGATCCATTTGGACTTGAGTTTTGTGCATGGTGATAGATATGGGTCTATTTTCATTCTTCCATATGGTGATATTCAGCTATGCCAGCACCACTTGTTGAATATACTTTCTCTTTCCATTTTATAGTTTAATAACAGTCTGTGAGACTGCATATATTTTCAACCAAGAAATAATTCTTTTCATTCCTGCAGGTGGAGACAAAGCTGTATCATTCAGTCCTAGGCCCTTTGTTAAGAAATGCCGACTTCTCAGAGGGAAGTAAATGTTGTCCTTGTAAAATCCTGGCTACCACAAGGTCATAGAATGACCTTACTTAGAAATGCAATAAGTGAGAACGTGTTTTAAAATTCTCTCACTTTCTTCTTTGCTTCCTGTTAAAGTCTTGGCACGAGAACCCGTGCCTCCTGTCTTTCAGAGATGCTGTGGTTGGCAGTTTTCATGTGTGCGACTCTGAAGAGGACAAAAGCCTAGACTACAAGCTAGTTCAGACTGAGCTTACGTGACCCGACATTCTTCCTGGTGAAACACGGTCTCCAGTTGAGACAGATGACTGTATCAGCCGAGAACCTAGGATCGGTTGCATTTTAATCCCAGGACATCTGAATGCCACTTATCTCTCGGCCTGCTTCTTTTGTAAGCTGAGAATAGCCGTATACAATGTCAAGCAAATGTCACAGACAAGCCAGACTTGACTTTACAGAGAGGGTTTTCCATTACTTTGAGCGAAGCCATTTTGGAAAAAGAAAAACGTGCTTACGAACTTAGATAGTTTTATATTCAGACTTACAGGAAGTGGAAAGCTGAGCTGAAGTGGCCCCAAATTGTATGGGCTCCAGAGAGTGTGAGCAGGGAAGCAAGCCTGGGGTAGTGTGGCTGGAGCTAGGGACAGCTCAATCTAGACAAAGTGTGGCTCACTCCGGGAAGAGTAGCTTACATCGACAAAGAGTAACGGAGAGACTCCAGGCCTGGCAGAGTTGACACCACCTTAGAGGTCAACTGAGAGCATCTGTTGGCATCACTGGGTGGAGGGGATTCCTGTAGGCAGACCCTTGGCCTGATCTACCTGACAGGGCCTCAGGTGCAGGCATGGCTTGTGGGCGAGTGCATAGTTGGGCTTTGCTTGTTCCCTAAAGGCCTTTATGGGGAGGGTGCAGTGAGGAGGGGATAGACCATTTAAGTTAGGGCCCAGTGGGAGGAAACCAGGCCACCAAGGACGTTGGAGGGGACATTGACTCTGGCCCCTTCCTGTTTCTTTTCCTACCTACCATGAGGTGGTGAGTTCTGCTGGCCTTTGTGTCTCTACTATAGTACACCCCCATCACAGAACCGAAAGCAATAGACAATCAACCATTTACTGAAACCTCTGAAGCCATGAGCCAAACTCGAATCAGCCTTCTTTAAAGTTGACCCATTCATCCATCCAGTGATGGAAGCAGGACAAACAGAGAACTCATTCCCAGTTATGACTGTAACTGCCGCTGGCAATATGAGCCAGAAACCTTTGGGAACTTCTGAGGATCTAGGCAAGAGGAAACCTCGAATGCTTTGAAGGCATTCATTCATCAGCAGCGCTGCAGGAGCTCAGAAAACTGCCATGCTCAACTGCTGAGCGGTTCCTCTGCCCCTGGACCATGCCACTCACTTGGAGTCCCCGGCTGTCACTGCTGGAGCGCAGATGGAGATCATCTGCCCCAACCGTAGGCTTACCTGGCTCAGGCTCACAGACCTGCCTGGGACACAATGTGGGGATAATCGAAGATGGAAAGAAATTTGATTCCTTTTGGAACAGAAACAGGCCCTTTTCGTTTCTGTTAGGTAAACAGGAGGCCACCTGAGGCTAGAAAGGAAGGGTGGCCTCAGATGACCACGATGTCCTCTCCAGAATATGCCTATGGAGCCACTGGGCACTCAGGCATCACCCTACCACACGTCACTCCTGTCTTCGTTGTAGAGCTTCTGAACCCAGAAGGACCGAAGTGACCTTTCCTTAGCTCCACGCACATAACTCTGTTGTAGGAAGATCTGGTGTCTCCAGACTCATATCCATGAATTCATCTAGAGTTTTTCCTGATGTTCCACTGTGTTCCTCGTATAGGTGTCTACCCTACCCAATACATACTGTCCCATGGCTTTGGACACCTCCATGTCCTCTCTCTCTTTCTTGTAAATGGGACCTAAATCATATGTCATAAACCTCAAGATACTCATTTTGGTGTGGAGTGAAACACCAGTTTCAGTCAATGGGATCTAGGCTTCCAAGTACGTATCTTATCGCGGCACACACGAAGGGTTTGCTTTAGACTATTGGATGTGGTGTGAGTTGCGCCAATGTTTATTTTTAGGTGGAATTTTAATCTGTTATATAATAAGACATCCTTGCTGCGGTGCTGCCGAGCCTTGGCAGGTTCTGCAGTGTTGAAGGCTGTGTTGTTCTCCCGCAGGAGCAAAGTCCTTCTCATAATTTAAAGCCCTACCCAAGATGCCATGGGGAGAGGCGAAGAAAACTTTGTCAGCCAGCCCCTCCCACCTGCTGAGATCCTTTGCCTTCTAAAATGGGTCCCTTTGCTGCTACATCAAATGAGACAGGCATCTGTCGCTAGACTAGCAGGGTCCTCTGAAGCCTTCTTTGTGACCTGGCTTAATTTTCTTTCCCCATCCTGTGATTTTTCTAGTAGATTTTTCGCGACTTATAATCTCGTAACTGTCCAAACTCTGTTTCCTAAGCTTTAAGCATGTTAGGTTTAAGTTTGGAGGCCCTGTTTGTTACCGTCCAATAAGAGCCCAGCCGTCGGGACAAACCCTTGAGTGTTCTCCGAGAGGTGAGGCTGGCCGCTCCAGCTTCAGCATCTCGTGGGCTTGGGTACTGGACACTCATCTCGGCTTCCTGGCTTGTCCTCCTTTAAGACCCGTCCCAACCTTTACTCTTCTGTGAAGTGAGTGGCTGAGAAGAGTGACGCCTCTGTCTCCCACTCCGTACGCCACCTGTAAGTTTTGAGTTTTATTATTGCAATAAAAATGTGTGGTGCTGGCTTTCTAAAATAAATAGATAATTCCGGGAGAAATGTGAACCGTTAGAGTTATGGTCCATGAGGGCTCAGGCAGAACAGTAAGAGGTTTCAGATGGGAGCAAGAACTGTTGGAGATTGGACTACAGTCCCGCCATGGTGCACACAAACCGGCAAAAAAATCTGAGTATATCTGTAGGTGCCATGTGTGGCTGAGTATCGAGGTAGAAAAAAATAACAAGATAGCACAAAATCCAGGCTCCATCCTGCACAATGTTGCTAGCTGCTTATAGTCAAATAGCAAAACTGAAGGGGAAAAAGCCAGGTGGAAAGATCTGAAACTTAGAAGCTAATCCCTCCCCCCCCCGCCCCCAAAAAAGAAAAGGGCACGTGACATTCCAGGCTGGTGCCCTGAAAAAGAAGGCAGATTTTTGTTCCAGGACAATAGGAAAAAGGCCTTGAAGGCATCTCAAAAATCTTCAAGAACCTACCCATTACAGGCCCCGAAGATCTAAAAATTTAAAGTCCTTTTAAATCTTTCTTTAGAGAAGAGAGTCTCAGGGCACCTTGTATAGAAGCACAGGAATGGGGGTGGAGGGAGGTCACAGAGGCTTCCTCTGTAATTCCAGAAGAAAAGCCTGGAATGCCAGTGTGTCATAGGGCAAAGTCTGCAAGTGGCTCCAACAGGGGGCCTGTGAGAGTGGAGCCGAAGCGTCCCTGCAGACTCCAGAAACTTGGGGATCCCGGGATCACGGAACAATGCTAAAGGAAGCAGCAGCGCCACCCCAAGAGGTGTGAGCATGTGGACTCCAGCCAGCAAGGCCACAAGGGTTGCACTTCCCGAGCCCTTCGGAGCTCACACCATGAGTGCTTACACACCCTCAGTGTTTTCTCTCTTGTGGTTTTGACTGTCTTGGGTCTATACCTCTATTCCCCACTTCTGGAATGGGGACATTTAACCTGCTTCATGGGGTCAGTTTATAGCTTGCCCTATTGATTTTGACAGGGCCCAGAGCTAACGATTTTCTTGGTTCCTCTGAGGAGACTTTGCACTTGGACTTCTGAGCAGTGCTGGAGCTGTTAGGACTCTGGGTACACTTTGAGGTGGACTGACTTGGAGATGAACGTTGGGGGGTGGAAGAGGTGTGATAAGGAAAGGACATGGAGTGTCCCATGTGGTGAAGGCTTAATTACCTCTCTGCAGTGTTCAGAAACAGTGTGTCTTTAAGTTGGACCTAGTAGAAGGAGCTGAGTCCTTTTAAAGAGAGTCTAGGGACTCTGACTATTTCCTCTGACACACCACACTTCCCCCATTGTGTACTATGTGACCAAACGCCCTGAACAAGAATGCCACGGAACCGTGGTGGAAATTCCTGAAAGTACCAGCCCAGAAAAGCCCTTCCTCATTCCTTCAAGTGGATTTACCTCAGGTGTTTGTCACAATGACAACTGACAAACAGAAGCACTGAGAGCCAGTAAGTGGATTCTAGCAATAAAGGCTGGAATTAGTTGAGAAAATCCAACAGAGAATTAGAGTAGTCGAGTGCCACCTTGAAAGAAAAGATGATCATGGGGCATTAGATCCACCCAACTGATTTATACAGAACATCCGCTCTGTCCCAGATGCTGTGAGACAGTGGTGCTCACAGGGAGTTCCAAAGCTAGAACAGAGAGGCTGTTAACTGAGTTGGGGTTAGTGGAAGGTTGAAGTCTCCTGAGAGGGATGAATAATTCACCTAGTCATTGTCTGGATTCTGCAAGATTTCCAGGTTCTTATTCCCTTTGATTCAAAGTTAAGGAATGTTTGGATGAAGAGGAGGTCCTTAGTCAAGACCCAGGGATAAGGGGGAAGAGTGAAGCTATCCAAGTAAGTTCCTTAAGAGGATAGAACCGGGCTCTCTAAATTGGTCCTTACCCTGGGGCATCTGTTGAAGGAAGGAGGTTGCTCAGGAGCCCCCAGCGTATAGGTTCCCCTTGAAGATACTCCACTGTCTAGGGATGTGCCTAAGAAAAAGAGTTGGAGCTGGGTGGTGGTGGCGCACGTCTTTAATCCCAGCACTCAGAGAGACAGGCGAATCTCTGTGAGTTCAAGGCCAGCCTGGTCTACAGAGTGAGTTCCAGAACAGGCAGAGAAAAAACAAAGCAAGCAAACAAATACAAAAGAGAAGAAAAAGAGTTGGCGTCAATGTGAAGAACTCAGGCCCATCCAATTGTAGGAACTCATGAGTGAGCATTGCCTCGTGGATGAGGCAGTTGAACTTGATGAACTACACTGAGCAGGAATTGGAGGGTAGCCCAGCCCTGGTCTGGGAGCATTATTGCTCGTGGCCAAATGTAACTGCTTCAGCCTTGTGACTCTGGTTTAGGTAAAAGACGCTTCTCTGAACTGTCTGGTGCTCACCCCACTCTGTCCTGGGTGGAAACCTGGGTGCTGGGCTCCAGCAATGAAGGTAATTGAAGGGGCGCCTCTGAGACTCTGCTCCAACAGTAAGGCTGGAGCTCATTGCAGAATCTAGGAAACACCTGGGAATTGTCAGGGAATGCAGTGGCGCTCACGCATGCTCAATAGACAAGAGATCAGTGTTTCTACCAACCTTTTTACTTTTTAGCTATCCACTGTTTTTAATAGGGCACCAAAAGAGATCTCAGTGGGACTAAACTTCTTGTAACATGTTCTTACCTAGCTCTTCAAATGCTATGTTAAAGAAATCCTTCCAATTAAAGATTGAAGCACACACAAATAAAGAAAAGCTTTTCAAATCAAAACAGGGTTAAGAGTTAGTAGATGATGAGGGACTTTGTGGTTTGTTTGGTCTAGAGGAATGAAGGAAATGATTTATCAAGGCAAAGACAGAAAGACAGAGCTCATCACCCTGGGACACAAGTATGATATATTGTACAGGGGATGCCTGAGAGGTGTGGTCAGGATAGAGCCTAGCCCAGGCCTCAACCATATACGCCTCCAGTCAGGAAATCCTGCATTCTGACAGCAGGAAATTCAAGAGCACAGGGAGGGTCCCCGGCTCAGGCAAACTTCTCAGCGGTGCCAGGGGGCGAACACGCTGAGCAAAGGAAGTTGTGTCCTCCACTGAGAAGAAGGGAGGAAATTACTTACCCAAAACAACGAGGCTCAGAGGCTATGCTACAGGGAGAAAAGCCCCCATATCCCACAAGATTTCAGGAAGCCGGTCCAGCCCTACACAGCAGCATGAATAGGCAGAGGAAGGGATGTGAAGGTAGATAAAGAGAGCGCGGCCCCGCAGCCCTGTCAGTGCAGCCTGTTTAAATCTATCTGGCGTGGAGTGGGGGAAGGATGGGGAGGACTGAAAGAAGGCGTGCGGTGAACAATAGTGGGACCCTGCAGCGTTATGGCTGAGTGGGTGGGGTGTAAGTAGGAACAGGAGTCAAGACGACCCCACCCCACTAGGAAGATGAGAGAGGAAGGTCCATTCACAATGGAACCTGTAGCATTCGACTTGGCATTTCAAACAGTGAAAGTGAGAGTTGTTTCTTCAAGTGCTCTCAGGAAGCGCCGCCAGTTCTGTTGCCGCCTGCTGACTGAAGGGTCCCACATTCTGGAAGTGACCCTGGGCTTCAGCCACAACGATCCCGTTAATTCCGCGTTGGAATCGAGCAGAAGCATTTACTAGCTGGTTAGTTTCGGTAACGCCTCTGAGATTCTAGCATACATGCAAACCAAAGAGTGGTGGAGACCGTCTCCCATTCATAACTTAGTAACTGTTCTTCAAAAACCAGTTTCTTTCGAAGGCTCACGATGACGGAGACGGTTAGTGCTGTTCATCACGATAGGAACCCTAAGAGAGCGTTTACCGGCAAGTCTTTTGAGAAATTTACAGATGGGAAATGGCAGGCACCCACAAGTCTGCTGGGTCTGTGCCCATTCTTTTCAAAGGTAGGAAATGTCCCTTTTCTTTGTGTTATTGGCTCACCACACCGCGGACGGCAGTGAGCAGA